CTGTCCTAAAGACACACACATTTCATTCTTTACTTGAATGTAGTTATAAAGGGTCTCTATTTATAGACTTTGTGGTAATACTGGTAATGTTGCATGTGCCGAATGCCTTAGAAGCCATTGTGTACAACAGTTGTTCTCTTGAGTTTCTATTATTTGTGTTCAGCATTGCTGGAGGTGCAGAGTTGTGCGCTTACCTTTGCACAGCTCGCAAAGAGAGAACCCTTTTTGAACACGTCCAATGAGAGGACAGTATCTGTGGATGATGAACAGATAAAAAATAGCAGTGAATGTCAGAGTAGATAATCTTCTCTCCAACCAGCTCAGCAAGTCCCTTTCAACACGTGCTGAGACAAGATGTTTGTTTCAAATCTGAATTCTTTGGTTTCCGTTGCTCTAATGACACCTTTCATTTTAAGTTACCATGTCATTCAGTGATGCCTTTAAGTCGTTCTTTTTCAAATGTAGCTTTTAGAAGCTGTGTAATCAAATGTTTATATAAAATCAATGTATATTCTTAATGCATTTTGAGATGCATTGCTATTGCTTTATAAAGCACTACGTTAGTTTAATACAAATAAAAGGTTATTCATTTTCAATTGATCACATCAACATCAGCAACGCTAACTAATTTATTTTATAAATTACCACTGTTGAAATGTCTACAATAATCTGTAATTGTAATCAATCCCTTTACATAAAATAAAGTAAAGCTTTCAGTCTCAGTTACTTAAGTTTCTCCAAGTCATAAAAGGTTGACACCAAGTTTAAAAGGCTAGGGACAGTATTGCAAATAGACTGCGTGTTGATGTCAAGTTTACTGTGGTTCCTTTCTGCCCTCTGGTGAATAAATGAACAAACTGCTATGCATTTCACATCAGGTACACACTCATGCCCTCTGCTGGTGACTGACCTGTGTGTCCGTAGAGGATCTGGCAGCTGTTGGTGAGCAGCTCAAACACCTTCAGCTGGCTGCTGTTGGTGGCCACCACTATGTGGCTGTCTTCTTTCCCCAGAAACTTCACATCCAGCACTTCGTCATTGTATCCCACAAACTGGGAGAAGTTAGGAGGAAGCCACAGAGAAAGAAAGTGGAGATGTATTATATGTATATGATAATAAAAGAATCTGGATGAATGAAGTCTGCAGTTTGACGCTCAAGTTCAAGAACTATTAGCAAGATAAAGAACTCCATCTCCCCCTCAGTACCGACCTGCTGCTGTGTGGAGAGAGCAGGCAGCTGGTAGAGGACGATGTTGTGCTCTGCTGTGACGGTGGCCAGTCGAGAGGAGGCGGGCAGGTGGAGGAGATGTGTAAGACCGCGGGGGTCGTCCTCTTCCTCTTCAGAGGAGGTGGAAAGGCTGGAGCCAAGTGTCTGAGTGTAAACACAACGCGCCGTGCTGGCCTCCCACACTCGCAATTCACCTGCCGTGTGAGGAAGGGAGATGAGGTGAGTGTAAGAGACATTTTAAGCAAAGCTCTGAGGAACTGCTTTCCCACAAAAATCTTGACTCCACATGAAAACATGTGAGGGACAATTCAAGAGACAAACCTTTGCTGCCAGCTGTAATGAAATGCATGTCTTTGCTCTTCACACCAATCTGAGACAAGTCCTCATCCACAGGCAGCATCACAACACCCTCCACAGCCTGCAGACAAAACACACGTTAAGCTGTAGAAGAGTACCACAATTTGACTTCTCATATTTCTATTAATTAAATTAAAACCACAGGCACGTAATTAATATCTTCCAGTTTTCAGTGCACTGTTTTCACAGTCCTACCTCATAGACAGGCACCGCTCTCTTGGCTTTCTTCGTCTTCAGGTCCCACACTGTACAGATCTTGTCTCTGCCAGAACTACAAATAAAGATCGGCACATAATTACATTGAGCAGAAGAAAGATGTACAACACTCGTAAAAAACGTAAACGTTGTAAATGAGTACAGTACCTGACCATGGTGTCCCCATCGGGGCTGAAGCTGAGCGAGGTGACAGCGCTGTAGTGGCTCTGCAGCACACACACACACTTACTGGAGCTCAGGTCCCACAGCCGGATGCCACAGTCCTGAGAGGAGGAGAAGAGCTGCAGCCGGCTGATGTCTGGGTGGAACTGGACCAGGCTGCAAAGACACACAACGTTTTGGGACTCAATGGATGTAGCTAAACTCACGACCGGCTCCATCAGTCTAATATTTCTTTGTGCTCATATTTGACTATGCTCACGGACCTCTAGTGGTTAGGGGGATTTACAAATGCATGTATTTAGACTCTGTTGGGGGGGGCATAATAGTATTAACCATGTCCTTTTTTTTAACGATATAACATCTTATGTACATGCATATTATTCAAAGCATTTCTGAACTTACTGTACAACGCCAGGTGACCCTTTAAGGTTGTGGGTGCAGTACTGCTTCACCACATCCCAAAGCTTTATAGTGCCATCACAGCCACCTGCAAGACAACAAGGAGAAACACTTGGCCATCTTTACAATGTCTATGTAGCAGAGATCAGACAGAAAAACAGGACACAAAATATCCAACTTGTTGTCATTTAATGCTGACCTGTTGCCAGGAGGGTTGAGGTGGAGTCAAAGGTCATACTGGCTACAGGAACAGTGTGAATAGCCCTCCAGGAGCGAGTACACTGAGCTTGCCTCCAGTCCCATTGCTTCAGCAGCAGAGCTCTACTAGCTGTCACCAGCATCTGTGTTGAGAAACACAGCACAGATTTACTCACATACAATCACTCTCTTAAAGACTGGTAAGATGAATGTACACAATGAGGTTTGTCTGAAGTGATGACTGGCGTTTTCTTTACCTCATCATCACAGCTGAGTGCAAAAGATGTGATGTCCTCCTGATCCTCCTGTAATTATAATATAGACAGAGGAGACAGATTGTTAGGATTAAAAGGTCCAAAACCCCAAGATAACATATTTCCATCGATAGAAAACAAAGCAAGGCAGCAAATACTGACATTTGACAAGCTGTACTCACATGCTCAACACTGTGGACGATCTTCCCCGTACTGATCTCCAAAACATTGACACGAGTTCCACAAGTGCAGAAGATGTAATTTTCATCTTTGCTTATCTGGAAAACAAACAGAGAAGTTAAAAAGGGAAGCCTGTTCTATACTAGGGACTAAAAGTTCAAATGGAATATAATCTAATCTATAATAACTAAAGTGTTAGCGCTCTAGTGCAGTTTTCAGAGGTCCACAGGTGTGGAAAGCGATTGAAAACATTATAATACATGTGATTTCTGTGTTAGTTAACATACATGTGATATACTATCTGCTTAGTGTCTGGACCCCTATTCTCAAATAGCTTATCATGGCGTCCCATTTCACTTAACTCTATCTAATGATTTTACTTTTGAACTGAGCCATTAAGTCACTTGAGTCCCATAAAGAGTTATTCTTGTTGATTAGAAAACTTCTGCTCAGGATGAAGGTGGCCCGGAGCTTTGACAGTCTTTCTTAGACACATATCTACTAATAGTGTTAAGGAGTAGTGAACTACATGTTCATGTTTAACTAGTTGTTTTATGTTTCAGTAGATTGCTTGTAGTTTCAACTACATGTATATTAGCATAGTGATTCATGTAATTAAATTACTTATTTTACATTGTTCTGTGTACTCAACTACTGAAACTACAAACTAGTTTTGGGCAATAAAAGGAAAGGATTGATTTTTGTATTTCTATTTTATCATTAGTTCTCTTGTGCAATAGATTTTCTCGGACAAGTGAACATATATGTCCAATATGTTTTGACCAGTCTGACAGCTGGTCATAAAGGGTTAAGATATGCAAGCTGAAGACTGCTTAGGTTGTGAAGATTGTACAAAGCAGATGTCAAGAAAATAACAGGTAAGACAACAGTCCTATATTTTAGACCAGTGCACAAGTCAGTCAAATCGTCCAAAAAAAGTAAAATATTTATAGTGGGGGACTTCATTTGTTTGGTTAATGTATGACATTTAACAAGTGGGCCCATACACATTCAACTGAATGGAAATTATTTGCTGGCATGTGACTTTAATGCATTAAAGCGTCATCAACACTGCCAATAAGAATAATACAGTTGTGTATACACGCCCACATAGTCCTGAGAAGAGGCCTAATCAGCCAGATTCATTAAAAACACCCGTGTGTATATTCAGTAGTTTTAAAATCAGTTCAGGCTCGTGCAACATAATGAATACTTGTATCAGCAACACATTTGACACAAAGCACATGACAGATCACTCACCTGCACTTTCCCTCCTTTGTAAAACGGTTCAATCTTGCTGTCCACAACATAACTGTAAGGGAATAACAGAAATATAACTGTGAGCTGTATAAACTTGAAATGACACTTTAGCCTAGCTCGTGCCAGCTAGCATGGTTCTGCAGCCTTCACGTGCCATGCGTCAAACACTTACTTTGTTTTGAATTGAAGGTTGATATTTGCCATCTTAACTGCGAAAAATTCCAACACCTGTGTATATTTAGAAGGTGAAATAATGTAATTTACTTATTTTTCACTTCACAAGTTGGCTGAAATCAACACATCCATGCCGCATGTTGATAATCGAGTCGCACACATTGTACGTCATCCGATGGCACTGAGCTGTGATTGGTCAGACGGTTTTTCTCGATTCCATTGTCAAAATGTAAACAGAGATATATTTCATCATAAAACAACGTTTATACTAGTGTCTATACTCGGTTTTTTTTTTGTTAAAATGAACTTTATTAGTAAAAAAGGCTAGTTGTATGTGATCATAAGGTTCACAATATGAACTTTAACTTTAAATGTGAGTCCCCCAGACTCACAACAATAGACTCAGTTGCAGCTATTCATGTTGAAAAGTTCCTGTTTGACGCAGGGTGAGCTTTGATGCTAGAACAGCAGGGAAAGGACGCGCTTCATAGTGAGCGCCATTATCTCTCTTCGTTTTCATATTTTACTGTTTCCATTTGTCCCCACACACACCCACACAGACATGGTCCCTCCTTCATGTTTGGTCAGGAATGTTCATGTGTGTGTTGCATTGATAACGCGGGTGTGTGACATGTGAGTGCACCGATATGGAGTAAACCTGTGCTGGGAATGGAAACACGGCGAGGAAAGAAGATTGACATGGTAAGTACACAACAGCTTCTGTTCTTTTTTTAAATTAATTTCTCCATTTTACTAACTTTTACTTTGGGTTCATTTAAAAAAAATGTACACATACATAGGCCTATCCTTAATATTGAATCAGCTACTTTCATAATACATTTGGTGAACTGTTAAATGTGTCTTCCCCTTTACAAAACACAGTCTTGCATTAGTGTCATGGTATATTTTTATTGTTTTTATTACATTTTATAAAAATGTTACCATCAATTATGGAAATAATGCCAAACGTTTACGTGTTTATAAGTATTTTGTAATGGTCTCATATGTTGTTTATGATGTTTTTTAAGGTTTACACTGACCTTTTCGTTATCATATTATCAGTCATATGACTTTCTAGAACAATATTTTGTTTTGTCATCTCTTGCCTCTATGTTGAAAACACTGTGGATGGGTTGTAGGCAGCGGTGGAGAAAATACTCACCTGTTGGTACATAAAGGCTCACAGTTTGTCCATCATTGGAGCTGAAACTATACTTTACACGTTATTGTTGCCGTGAAATATAAGAAAATTATGATACACAATAATAAGGTAATGTTTATTTGGCCCCCAGGCGGACCCAGAGGTGTCATCACAGAGTGGGGGCTACGATGTGGAGCTGTTTGTGGACACTCCAGACTACGATCTGATCTGCACTATATGCCAGGGGGTCCTCAAGTGTCCAGTAAGAGCAGCGTGCCACCACATCTTCTGCAAGAAATGCATTTTACAGTGGCTTAAGAGGTACTGAACATAACATGGGACGAGATCAGTGTAAAGTTATCCTGTATTGGATTGTTATAATCATGCCTGGTCCTAACAAGAGAATGGGACTAAGTGTTGTTTATTCTCCACAGACAGGAGACCTGCCCCTGCTGCAGGAAGTCTGTAAACACAAGCCTTATCTTTGTCATGTTCAAGCTGAGCAAATCTATTGGCCGCATGAAGATCAAGGTAGGAAGCTTTAAAAAAATACTTGTACATTAAAACATTTTTTTTGGTCAAAGTGATGTACTGTTATTATGACAACTCTCATTTGAGTGACATTTGAGTAGCTTCATTAATACTTAAAGGAGCAACACACATCAATAATATCATGGCCTTAAATGTGACCCAGCACTATGTAGTCTTGAAGCTCTAGGGAGAGGTCAATGAAAAAAAAATTCAATGAAGGATTAGAATTGTACAATTTATAATTTCACCTCTGCCTCTGCTTGAATACTAAAGTCAGCTTACTAGGATTTTCCCTCCGCTGCAGGCTAGATGCAGATGTATGTGAATTCTGGATTTTATGACCACATTATTTCTTTGTGTTTCTCTGTGTCTGCTCTCTATTACAGTGTAAGAATGAGATCCGTGGTTGTGCAGAGACCTTCTCCCTCTCGGAGCAGTATTGCCACAGCTTGAGCTGCCTCTACGAGCTCATCCCCTGTCCCTACCAGGGCTGCCGGGCGCAGCTCCTCCGCAGGGACCTAGACACCCACGCACGCCACTGCGAACACTGGCGTCAGCCCTGCCACATGGGCTGCGGGACCATCCTCTCACACCGCACCCAGGCCCAACACAACTGCTACAAGCAACTGAGGCAGGAGCATGAAATCAGACAGAGGAACCACAAGGCCATCGCCACCGCCCTGCAGAGGAAGATGAGGAGGATGCAGAGCACCATGACCCACATGAAGAGGCAGATAGGGCTGATCTGCGAGAGCCTGGAGGTGATGGACGACCTGCACGAGGTAGAAGAGGAGGACCGTGGAGAGAGCAGTGGAAGCTCGAGCGGGACTCCAAGTAGCAACACCAGCAACTGCTGAGGGAGTCACTTACTACTGCTGCTGATGGTTGTAATTTCTGCATGTGTTTATTTATTTGAAAGTGTGGGTGCGTTTTAAAATATGTAGGTGGTACATGATTAAAAAGAGTGAATTTGTAAAAAAAATGTGTGCTGTAGTTTCCTATATTTTGTTAATAAAGTATTTAAAATGAACACTGTCATCCTGACTTTCATTCAGGAGAAAAGCTTTCCTTACAGATGAATACTTGTATTAATGCAAACATTTACCAGAACTGTGCAAACATAGCCTACATCTAACTCATGCGCTTTCCAGAACATTTAAGTCTCGATCAGACATTTATTGATATTTCACAAGACACGTGTGGACTTTTTATTTTCTTCTTCTGATGCATTTGTTGTTTTTATCTTTTTCTTTTAGGCTATGACTATTGATATTTTAAGAGGGAGGAATCTTTATTCCCCCCCTTTAAATATCTATAGTCTAATTTTAGCTTCTAACTGTTTAATTATATTCCTAAATTCTTACTGGCTTATGTTTAGATATGCAAATACATAAATAAAGCAAATTATGTTCGCCAACAGAATGAAAGCTTAACAGTCGCAGAGCATTTGACTATAAAGGAGTTATAAGTGGATGAATATGCCTATTTGTTTTGTTTGCTTTTTTAAATGCTGAAATATGATGTCATTAATGCGATACAATAGATTACATAATAAGCTCTTATATTAAGGCTATGACTATTGATATTTTAAGAGGGAGGAATCTTTATAAGCTAATTTTAGCTTCTAACTGTTAAAACATATTACTTCATTCTTACTGGCTTATGTGTACATATGCACATACATAAATAAAACAAATTATGTTCACCAACAGAATGAAAGCTTAACAGTCGCAGAGCATTTTACTATAAAGGACTTAAGTGGATGAATATGCCTATTTTTTTTGTTTGCTTTTTTAAATGCTAAAATATGATGTCATTAATGCGATAAAATAGAATAGATAGATAATAGAGCTCTTACAGGTCAGTTCTGAAAAGCTGCCGCTTGGGGGCAGTGTTTTGTATGCTTTCTCTAGAGGAGATATCGCGAGACTCTTTAGCCCAGCTCTATATAAAGCCCGGTTTGACTTCTCGTGGTTCTTCTTCCCGTAATAAAGATCACGTAAGTGAATTGCCGTCTCTTCCTCTCATATCGTAATCCTGTATTATCTTACACATCCCTTTGCTAAATACTTTTATTCTACCTCAAAACGCACACATAAAGATGTTATATCAAAGCCCTGTGGTTATTTACGAGAACAATCAAGTACACATTGAGATATTTGTAACTATTGACTGAACGTTTGCAACGTTGAACATGGCGGCGATGCTCGTTTTCTGTGAGATGCGATGCCACAGAATGATTGGTCTTTAGCGCTCCTTTTCTTTATCGGTTGAAGTTGATATTAATTGTGATCTTATTCTTTCCCGCAGCAAATGGCGGACAACGCCGGTGATAGAGGAGGTTTCCGTGGAGGTTTCGGCGATAGGGGCCGCGGCAGGGGCCGTGGACGCGGCAGAGGCCGTGGACGCGGACGCGGTGCCCGGGGCGGCAAGTCCGAGGATAAGGAAGTAAGTTCAACACTCTTATTTAAATAGTTATTTCAACAACAAAAAGGAAAAGCTGGCTGTGTGCTAATGCCCTGAACGACATTTAACTGAGATGCTTTCTTTTCAAAGTGGATTCCAGTCACCAAGCTGGGCCGCCTGGTTAAGGACATGAAGATCAAGTCCCTGGAGGAGATCTACCTGTACTCTCTGCCCATCAAAGTAAGCAGCGTTTAAAGATGACTATTGTGACAGACAGTAGATCTTTTATTAACGAGAGCAGAGGGGGGTCTATTGCATGTAAATGGATGTATTATAATCTCCCATGGATTAATGGTGTGTGAATTGTTGTGCCATCACATTCAGGCTAAAGGGATACATTATTTTCTGTGAAAGATTAAGCTAATGGTTGTTGTTTTGTTTGCTCATTTGGTATATAAAAAACGTGTGGAATATACTTGAGGAACAACTGCAACTATTGTAATACTTCACAAGTGATGTTCGGCACAGATTTTTTGTTGTTTTTATTCTTATTTATAAATTCATACATGACCTATATTGGATGTGGTATATGCTAAAACATCTGTTACTTTCTTTCCCTGCAGGAGTCTGAGATCATCGACTTCTTCCTGGCTTCTGGTCTGAAGGACGAGGTGCTCAAGATCATGCCCGTCCAGAAGCAGACCAGGGCTGGTCAGCGCACCAGGTTCAAGGTGAGTTTGTTATTATAGTTACATTTGACTATTTTATTTCCCCTTAATCTTGTTTGTCCCAATGTGACACGGTTTTTTTTTTCTTACAGGCCTTTGTTGCTATTGGTGACTACAATGGCCATGTTGGTCTGGGTGTGAAGTGCTCCAAAGAGGTGGCCACCGCCATCCGTGGTGCCATCATCCTGGCCAAGCTGTCCATCGTGCCCGTAAGGAGAGGTTATTGGGGTAACAAGATCGGCAAGCCCCACACCGTGCCCTGCAAGGTGACTGGCCGTTGTGGCTCTGTCCTGGTGCGTCTCATCCCCGCCCCCCGTGGTACTGGCATCGTGTCCGCTCCCGTTCCCAAGAAGCTGCTCACGATGGCTGGTATCGACGATTGCTACACCTCCGCCAGGGGCTGCACTGCCACCCTCGGCAACTTCGGTACGTTTCTTATGCTGATTATGTGTTTTATTTTCTCATTGCCCTGCTTCAACTCTGCTGTGGTGTACTTGTTATTATCAGGAGAGAAATGAATGAGTATTATTGTAATGCACGGCAGAGAGTCTTGTTTAGTGGTCTCCTCTGATCCCCTTTTCAGTGCACAACATCGTTTCCAAAAAAGACTGCAGAACTATATCTGTCTTACAATCTACTCACTGTTTGTTTCCTCTTCAGCCAAGGCCACCTTTGATGCCATCTCCAAGACTTACAGCTACCTGACCCCTGATCTGTGGAAGGAGACCGTCTTCACAAAGTCTCCCTACCAGGAGTTCACTGACCATCTGGCCAAGACTCACACCAGGGTGTCTGTGCAGAGGGAAAACCCTGACATGCCTCCTGTCTAAAGTTTTTGTACAGTCGTTGAATAAAACGTTCTGAAACAACATGCAACGTGTTTGTCTTGTGTTAAACAGGGGTATTGCTAAATAATAAGACACTACGTATGTAAGATGCAAGTTTTGTACAATGTCAGACTACAATAAATCAGATGTGTTTTTTTATATTAACTCAATATTATATATCCTGTTAAAAGAACCAGGCAAATGCTTTTGGCCAATTCTGCAAATGAAATACCTAGGTCAAAATTGCCTTGAGTCCTGTTCAATGTTATACACTAGACTTCATGGATGAGGAAGATACATTAAATGAAAACATTTGACAGTATCATATTCAACCCACAAAGGGTGGGAATAAAAATCAGGACGTTCTTAATAACCTTAAAAAGTTTCTCCATTGACTTCCTAGTTAAAAATGGGATGTGTCTCTGGAATTATGAATGATAAAAGTAATAGCCATTGAGTCCCGACGTTTTGATGTTTGAACGGAGTTTCTGCGATGTTCAATGTGGGAGAAGTGGTGCAAAATAATCCGGCGGAATAAAGAATTGTGTGCAGAGCATAACAGTTGGAATGCTGTCAGCACTCCCACTAAATAAAAGCTTATTGTGCAGGAAGTTGTTGCGACAACCAAGTTGTATTGCACTACCCAGCCACACTAACAAGTCCCGAGACCGACACTGACTTGTCCACCCCAGAAAAACACAATGCAGAGTATCTTTTTAAAATTGTAAATCCTGCAAATGTCTTCTTACTACCTCTAAATCAGCACAGCTCTCCACTTTAGATACAGTATTTGTCATATATAACTTTAAATAGTTTATGATAATTCTGTGTGTCACAACACACATACCAAAGCAAATGTGTAAACCTGCTGGGTAATACAGGTTTCAGATTCTGACTTTCATGCATTCATACAAACTGTCGTTTTAAGGACTAAAAAGACCAACAAATGATTTATCACATACATTTTATTCTACAATATTACAGAGGACATATAGTAGCGATCTGTTCTTAAGAAGTCTGGGCCTGATCAGCCATCATCCGTTCTTTTTGTTTCATGAGACATTTCCTGCTGCTGGCATACGCTCCCAGGTCTCCATCTGCAAAGAGGAAAGTCAGTAGTTCAGACTTAGTAGTTAGAAAAACTACGATTAAACTACTAAAAGTCTAATCATAATTTCTCCAAAACCAAAGGTGTTATAAACAAAATACCTTTGTGCAATTGTTATAAAAAAAGATGGCTTTTTGTATTTCCCTTTCAAAAAGGGCATCAAATAAAACATTTAAAGAATTATTTCAGCCCTATTCATAACACTATTATTACATCTACTTAATTTGTAAAAAAAAACCGTTTAATTGACGCAGGGGACAGTAAATAAAATCCCCAAGTTTATGAACAGCAGTGTAATATGACATGTAGATTTTCGTTATTGTTTTTAAAGTGTTTTCCACCGCACATGTCCATTATCACATTACTTACAGCACAACTGGAAGGTGTTGGAAGTCTCTTCGAACTGCTCAATTTCCTTGGCACAGTTCTGCTTGTAGCTGGATCCTTCCCTCTGATAGCAGGCCTTCATACGCTCCTGGACTATCTTCACAATCTCCTGATCCACTTTGCTAAAGAGTGAAGACAGAACCACAGGGTCACCCTCTTTAACAACATCTCCAGAGCTGATAGAGGCTCTATTACTGGTGCATACAATCACTATTGAGTCCTTGAAATAAAGGCAAACATTTCTATGCCACCGTTGTCTTGACTATTGCAACTCCCTTGACATGTCTTTTTCAAAAGTCTCTCAATCATCTCTAATTTGAGCTTCCCTACCGGGGCTACCCATGTGTTTTATAATGTTTTTTAACATACATGTAAAATCTGGTTGAGCATATCCTTTTCTTTCTTTAAACCGTTTTCCCCTTATAGCCAATCGTTCTAGCTCTGATTCTCTGGCATTTGCTCTAAGAGCTCCAATACTTTGGAAAGCCCTGCCTGAGGAAATCTGGCATGTTCAAATTGTGTCTAATTTTAAATCCCTTAAAAAACACACTCCTATAAAGCTTCTTTGAATACT